TGTGTGTGAGAGTGTGTGTGTGTGAGAGAGAGAGAGAGAGGGGGGGAAGAGAGTGTGTGTGAGAGTGTGTGTGTGTGTGTGTGAGAGAGAGAGAGAGAGAGAGAGAGAGTGTGTGTGTGAGAGAGAGTGTGTGTGTGAGAGAGAGAGAGAAAGTGTGTGTGTGAGAGAGAGTGTGTGTGTGAGAGAGAGAGAGAGAGAAAGTGTTTTTGTGAGAGAGAGAGTGTGTGTGTGTGTGTGTGTGAGTGAGAGAGAGAGAGAGAGAGAACTAGCATCTCCTTCCATAGCAGGGACCCCCAAACTTGGCAACTTTAAGACTTCTGGGAGTTGAAGTCCCCAAGCCTTAAAGTTGCCAAAGTTTGGCGATCCCTGCGGTAGGCTCTCCTGCTTGGGCGGAGGGTTGGACTAGATGACCCCACAAGTCCCCTTCCAACGCTTTTAATTGCAAACGCTCGAAATCCAAGGCGCCGCCGCCGCAAAGCCGGGAGCTGCGGAGCCGAGCCGAGCCGGGGGGAGGCCGGGGAAGGGTGGGCGGGGGGCGGGCGAGCAGAGAGCCGGAGCCCCGCTCCGTCTGCCCACCCGCTGGAATGCCGGCCGGGCCCCTTTGATTGGCTGCCGAGCGCCGGAGTCAGCTTTTTTTTTTTCCCCCTGGAGAGGCTTGCAAGCGCTGCAAAGTTTCCCTGGCTGGCGCGGGGCTTTTCGGGGAAGGGGCTGCCCGGGCTGGGGCTCCTCCGGCCATGCCGCGGGGCTGAGCATGCAGGGAAGGCCGGAGCTGCCCCTTGAGGCTGCTGCGCCCTTTCCCGGGACCCCCCCGAGCCCCCCGCGGGCCTTCCTCGGGGCATGCCCGACCGGGCGACTATGTCCCAGCAGCCCTCCATGAGTTTCCTCCTGGTCCCCATCCCGGAATACCCGCTCCTGGAGTGCGCGCCCAACAAAGTCATCAAGCTGGTGGTGCTGGGGGGCAGCGGCGTGGGGAAGACCGGTAAGTGCCCAGGGGAGCCACCCCAAGAACGGGGGGGGGGGGGCTCCCCCCGCCCCCCCCCCCCCGCGCTCCTCCTCCTCCTCCTTCTGACCGGCTGCGCCTCCAGCCGGTTCTCGGTTAATCTTTGACTGAACGGGGCGGTTCCGGCGCTGAGCTCGGCTTGTTTTGAGGGACACCGAAGTTCACCAGATGTTTTCTCCCCCTTTCCAGGGAAAGAAGGCAGATCTTGGGGCGTGGGGGGCCGGGGGGGGGGGGGGGGGGGGGAAAAGGCAGGAGGGCAAGCCGGCGCCAAGACCGGGGGCGTTTTTGGAAAAGGCACCGCTGGGGTCTCCCAGAAGCTCCATTGTCCACCATTGGTCATTGACAAATCGCCAGGGTGGACAATCAGCCAAGACTGAGATGCCAACAGATGAACAGAGTCGGAAGGGACCTTGTAGGTCATCTAGTCCAACACACAGAGCCCGCCCAAGCAGGAGACCCTGCCCCATTCCTGGCCGTCCACTCTCTTCTTGAAAGCTTCCAGGGATGAAGCTCCCACAACTTCTGTCCCATCGGTTGATTGTTCTCACTGTCAGAAAGTTTCTCCTTATTTCCAGGTTGAATCTCTTCTTGTTCAGCTTCCATCCATTATTATTTGTCTGGCCTTCGGGTGCTTGGAGAATAGCTTGACCCCTTCCTCCTCTCTGGGGCAGCCCCTCAGATATTGGAAGACTGCTATCATATCTCCCCTGGTCCTTTTGTTCATCAAAATCAGATTAAAGTCAGATTAACAGAGTTGGAAGGTACCTTGTAGATCATCTAGTCCAACCCCCCACCCTCAAATATTGGAAGACCGCTATCATGTCTGCCCTGGTCTTTCTCTTTACTAGACTAGCCAAGCCCAGTTCCTGCAACCGTTCATCGTATGTTTTAGCTTCCAGTCCCCTAATCATCCTGGTTGCTCTTCTCTGTACTTTTTCTAGAGTCTCAGCCTCTTTTTTTATAATGTGGTGAGCAAAACTGGATGCAGTTATTCTAGGTGTGGTCTTACTAAGGCTTTATGGAATGGTAGTAGTGCCTCTCTTGATCTTGATTGCATCCCTCAGTAGCAGAAGCAGAATAAAGCATGAATGCAAAAACCATAACAGTTACAGGTGGCCCTTGACTCACAACCACAACTGAGCCCAAAACTTCTGTCGGTGCCGCCGGATTGACCTCAGGCTGAAGCTGCAAGGGAGCCTCGATAGCTGGTCAGACGGTGGTGAGACCTGAGTGATCCTTCTCATAGAATAAGAGAGTCAGAAGGGACCTTGGAGGTCTTCTAGTCCAACCCCCTGCTTGAGCCAGAGACTCTATATACCAGGGGTCTCCAACCTTGGCACCTTTAAGCCTGGGGGACTTCAACTCCCAGAATTCTGGGAATTGAAGTCCCCCAGGCTTAAAGCTGCCAAGGTTTGGAGACCTCTGCTGTAGACCATGTCAGGTAAATGGTTGTCCAGTCTCTTCTTAAAAGCCTCCAGTGTTGGAGCACCCACAACTTCTCGAGGCAAGCTGGGGGATTTCTTCTTTGTTCCAGGTTGCTTCTCTCCTTGGTTAGTTTCCACCCACTGTTTCTCGTTGTGCTTTCTGGTGCTTTGGAAAATAGGTTGATGTTCTGTCCCACCTGTATCCACAGATGAAACTTCAAGTTATATAGTTCAAGTACTTTACAAAACCAGAGACAGAAGATTCAGTTGCTCTGTTATCACAGTCCTTTGGCAATCCTCCTAGAATCTGTCCGGCAATTCTGTATAGTTTGTAAATCACAACGCAGTAAATCAGACGCAGTTCTTTCCAAGGCAAAACTCACTTTGTTTCCAGCAAATATTTCAAAGTCGTGCGCTCCCTTATATCCTCTGAGAGAGGGCGTGTCAGTCTCATTAATTAATCCTTTGCTGGACGTCTCTTTTCTAATTGAGATTGACGTCTCAATCTCCCCCTAGTTCTGGCATCCAGCCAGCATCCGGCAGTTTCATCTCAGCTTGAAACCTCCGACACACTTTCCTGATTAACAGTTAACACCTGAGGTGTAACTAGGGAAGTAGGTTCAGGGGAGAGAGTGGCCTCTGAATCCTCCAATAAATCAGGCTCATCTCTCAAATCCAACTCCTCTCCCTCTACTTGACTCCCCTCCAAGTCACTTAATAATGCAGGCTCGAATCTCAGTGCCAGATCTTCTCCCTCGCTCGAACCCACATCTGCTGACTGATCAGGTTCAAGTCTCGGAGTCACAACAGGTTGATGCCTTTGCCTTTGTAGGAGCCCCTCAAATATTGGAACACTACTATCACATCTTCCCCAGTCCCTCTTTCCACTAGACTAGACCTATCCGATACCTGTCATTGGTTGGTGGGCAAGCATTGTAATGTTGCATCTTATTTGTTTTATCGGTCAGTTTGTGGGTCACCAGAGTAACCCAGATCAAAGCAGCACATATTGAGGTGAAAAGCAGCAAAAATAATTCATAGAAACAACCCTCCCAAATTCAGAGCCTGCTCACTTTGCCTCTTTTCCCCCCCCGGACCCATACAGGTAAGCCTCAACTTATGAGCACAATTGAGCTCAAAATTTTTGTTGCTAAGTAAGAGAGTTGTTAATGTTTCCCCACCCCCACCCCATTTTACAACCTTTCTTGCCACCGTTGTTAAGTGAATCACTGCAGGGGTTAAATTAGTAACACGGTTGTGAATCTGGCTTCCCCATGGACTTTGCTTGTCCGAAGGTCCCAAAAGGGGATCACTCTGCAACCGTCACAAATACGATTCAGTTGCCAAGCATCTGAATTTTGGTCACGTAATCCTAGGGATGTGGCAACGGTCGTAAGTGTGAAAACTGGCCCTGGTTCCCTTTTTCAGGGCCATTGGAACTTCGAACGACCCTTGAAGGAACTCTTATAAGCTGAGAATTATCGGCATTAAAACTTGGGTTACAAGTCTGTGACCGGAATCGGGGCCAGAATTTCCATTAAGTGAATCATGCCCAATATTAGGAACTTTGGTTCAACTTTTGCCCCGCAGCTGTTGAGCAAATCTCACAATCGTTAAGCATTGACTTTTTCGTGGGAAGGTTGCAGGTGGTCCTCGCGTAACCCCAGAACACTGGAAACCTCATAAATATATGCAGGTCGGCAAGCACTTGAATTTTGATCATGTGACCCTAGGGATGCTGCGGTGGTCATAAATGGGAGGATCTGGTCATAAGTCACCCTTTTCAGTGCTGTTTCAGTTGCTAAACTTATGGTTGTAAGCTGAGGACTACCTGCATTTTTTTTTTAAAAAAAATAAATGTTTCCAAATGGTTGCAAGCTCCTAAACAACAAGGGAGAAAAATATACTGTACAAAAACTCTTCCGTTCCTGAAAAAAATGCTTCAAATGCTTTCATTTCTGGAGGAAACCGTCTGCCCTGGTTCTGTGTGAAAGAAACAGTCATTCTTGCTTGGGGAAAAACAAGCACCGAGCATGTTTCCCACCACCACCAAAAAAAAAAACACCCCTCTCTCGACGACATATTTGTACATCGTTCCGAACTAAAGGCAATTGGAAGGAGGCAGACTTTTGAGTGGCGGAGAATCTGTCCAAATTGGTGAGTCAGTCTGTTTTGACTGGCAGGCACGTGGAAGTCTCCTAGGATTGCTTGGCATCACTCTTGGAGGGGCAGTGTATCCTCTGGCCTTCCAACTACTCGTTGGGAAAAGAGGGGAGGCTCTAGAAATAGAGTCCAGAGAAGAGCAACAAAGAGGACCAGGAGACTGGAGGCTAAAACCTAACAATGAACAGTTGTGGGAACTGCTGCGTATGTTTAGTCTAAGGAAGAGAAAGACTGGAGTACAAGAGAGCAGCCTTCCGATATTTGAAGGGCTGCCACAGAGAAGGGCAGTTCAACCTGTTCTCCAAAGCACCTGAAGGGAAGGGAAGAAGCAATAGATGGAAACTAATCAGGGAGAGAAGCAACCGAGAACTAAGGAGAAATTTCCTAACTGTGGGAACCATCAACCAGCGGGAATGGCTTGCCTGCAGAAGTTGTGGCCGCTCCATCATTGGAGGCTTTCAAGAAGAGACTGGACTGCCGTTTGTCTGAAAGTGGTAAAGGGCGTCCTTTTCTGAGCAGGGGGTTGGACTAGAAGACCTCCAAGGTCCCTTCCAACTCTGTTATTCTGTCTTCTACCATGGGATGGCTGAGCTGCTTAGCTCCTGGCCAGGCTGCCTATGGCAGAAACTCACTTAACGGCTGTCTTGCTTAGTAACATAAATGTTGGGCCTGAGGATGGATTAGCTGTATTAGCTTTCTCTCCTTCCTTTGTCCTGGAACTTGAAGGTGGTATAAATAGGGAGTCCTCCTCCCGTTTCCCCCATAGGAGCCCCGGAAGGTAAGCTGGGCTGGGAGAGGGAAAGTTACTGGCCTAAGTATTTGGGGGCAACCATTAAGCCAGTGTTGTTGTATGCGGGAAAGACCTTTGGGGGACAAGGTGAAGAGATGCTGCCTAGGGAACAGCCAGGTAGGAGGCAGCAGAGCCCACAGCAGGATAACGGGTGGAAAAAGAGATTCAGAAGAGACCTGCCCCTGGTTTCTCAAGCTGTAAAGGAGACGGTGGGAGAGCTGAACTTTCAGACTTGCTAGAATCTTTAACCTGACAATAAAATAGGATTAGGTTACCCGGCTGTGTTTACCGTCTGGTCTACCCATTGTGCCTGACATCCATCAGCGCAGACTTCTTGGGAGTTCTCTAGAAGTGAAGGAAGGGGTCTCTGGAAGTAGGAAAGAGATCCCTGCACGCAGAAACCGTGCACCTTAACTGGTGAATGTTTGCAAAATCCTTTGTTGGAAGTCGATCAGGAGACCCCGGATGTACTTCCAGCTTCCATGCTGTGGGTTGGCTCCTAGGGCAGGATAAGATGGACACATCTGCTGCCGAAGGGAGACAAGGGACTGGGGAAAGGCAGCAAAATCCAGCAGGCACCAAAGGAGAAGAACTACTTGGACAAGGTTCCTCAAACCACTTCTTTGGACAGGTGGTGGGTACAAGTAGCATTTGGAAAAAAGCTGTCTCGGCATCCACAGATTGTTTCATGAAGTGGAGAGATTTCACCTGCGTGGTAGCTCGTTGTGAAGAATTCTGAAATTGTGTCCTGGAGGAATGGCCCTTGTATATCTTTGACCAAGAGGACAGGGATGATAGACTCTTTCAGAAGAAAAAGCACAAATATGGACATTAACGTCATTTTAAAAGACATGCTGGATTTCGTATCAGTGAGTGAGCAAGTGGATTACGAGATCTCCAGATGCTGCTACCTGCAGAGGAGGCAATGCCTTGGCCTTGTTCTTCTCTTTCTTCTTAGTCTTCTTTTGGAGCCTGGATCTGGGTTGGGCAGGCTTTCAAAGTCCTCCTTAAAACAGGACACCAGGCTCTCTTAGCAACCACCAGAATTTATCCCAAAATTGCTTTTCCAAGAGGCAAGTGGACTTCCGTCTTTTTTTTCCTTTGAAAATGTCTTTGCTTTTCATCCAGGAAGCTGAGCCAGTTCTAACTGAAATTCTAACTGAGTTAAAACTGGAGAAGCTTCTAGGATGAGAAGCAAAACATTTTCAGATAAAAACTAAGGTAGTTCAGTTGCCTTTTGGAAAAGTAGCTCTGGGACAACCGTGACCTGGATGGCTGAGAATCTCCATAGACGTCAGGATTTACCTTCGTTAGGTGTGAACTATGAACACTCCCCAAATCACATCCAAGGCTGGAGGTGGGCCTGGTTGGTCTTCAGGACTGGTCATCTTGGTAGGACCTCTGGGACACTCTGGGAATGTCATCTGGGTGAAACAAAATTCAGTAAACAAGATCACGGTGATAAATCTTACTAGATGTAGCTCATGCATTCCCATTTGCCAAGGATGAGGGTTAATGTGAGTATGTGGGAATGTGACGAAGAGAAGTGACAACGTCAAGGTCACGGGTCCTTCCATGCACTCCGGTTTTTAACTGCTACCGTCCCTTTTAATAGTCCATTTTCCCAGCCAGTTTATTTTTGGAATTTGGTTCTGATCTCAGAGTCTGGCAGGAGGCCTAAAGCAGTGTGTGTGCAGTGTGCAGCAACTTTAAGATGGGTGAACTTCAATTCCCAGAATTCCTTGGCTAGCAGGCTGGCCGGGGAATTCTGGGACTTGAAGTCCACTCATCTTAAAGGCGCCAAGGGTTGAGGAATGTTTATCCAGACAAGCTAGATCTCTGCTTGGGAGCAGTTTGCATGGGAAAACTGGTGGGGAGCACAAGGGTGAACCGCCCCCTACTTCCTTCCTTCTCCTTCCCAAGGAACATCGTAATCTTTCACACGAGGAAAGTCAAGGGAACATCATGTCTCTGAAGCTTTGCATGCATGCCTGGATCTTCCCATGTAGCCTCAGCCTCCACCAGATGATTTCATCCACCCACCCACCCAAGAGCGGTCTGAAACCGGAGCTCAGAGCTGATCTCTTTGGGGCTGGCCTTTCGCTTGGGAGAAAGCGCCTTGTTCTCACGTGGCTCCTTTCCTCCAAGGAATAAGCTGGAGGGAAGGGAGAAAAAAAACACCTCTGCTGGAAGAAATTCCATTGAGTCAAGGAAGTACAATGAGTTGTGACAAGGGTGACACCGGTGGCGAAGGGTCACCCTTTCCCAGCCTCCCTGGCGAAAGAATGCGAGAAAGCCAGGGAAAAATAAATAAAGTTGGGAGCCTTTTGAAAGTGTGAAAACACAATAGGAAATTTATAGCAAAGACTGGAGGCCTCCTGGACCAGCCTCCAATAACATCCCGTGGGCCCCCTTCTCCCCCCTGGGACACTCCGTCATGTGGAACTGACGGCTTCCTGGGGCTGCCAGTGTGAGAGGCGCAGCTGAAATCTGTAAGGCATCTTCCTCCCTGAGGGTCTTTGGCAAGAAGGGGCTCAAGGGGCCCATGGGGTCCCTTCATGGGAAGGAAACTTCAGGCAGAGGCGAAATGTTGGGGAGATCTTCAGTTTGATGAAAAGAGGAGAAGGAGATGGGAGAAGGGGAAGGAGGTGGCGAAGGAGGAGGAGGAGGAGAGGAAAGGGGGAGAAAGGGAAGGGGATGGGGAAGTCGGTGTCGACTTCTAGTGACCACACATCAATAGATATTCTCCATCTGTCCCCAACCTGAGCACAGCTTACTTGGGTCCCCAAATCAAAGGCCTCCTCCCCCTCTGGGATTCCTAACAATCTTTGTCAAGATACAAAACTGAAAATATCTACAGACCCCTCACATCCCGGATGTGTTTGAACTCCATCCCTCAAAATGACGCTGTAGAGCCCTGCACACCAGAACAACTAGACACAAGGGGAGTTTTTTTCCCTGAATGCCATCCCTCTGCTAAACAAATAATTCCCTCAGCACTGTCCAACTATTTACTAAGTTTGCACTACTATCACTATTAATCTTCTCATCACTCCTTATCAACCATCCTCTCCCACCTGTGACTGTATCAATGTAACTTTGTCGCTTGTATCCTTACTATCTATATGGACTGTCTCCTAGTATGATTTGATGGCTTATTGTACCCTATGACTATTATTAAGTGTTATACCTTATGATTCTTGACGAATGTATCTTTTCTTTTATGTACACTGAGAGCATTTGCACCAAGACAAATTCCTTCTTTGTCCAATCACACTTGGCCAATAAAGAATTCTATTTCTATTCTGTTCTGTTCTGCTCCGCTCCGCTCTGCTCTACTCTACTGTATTCTATTCTATCCTATTCTATTCTAAAACTGTGCACACTGGCTAGAAGACGGCAGCTCTTCCCTCCTCCTCCTCCTCCTCCTCCTCCTCCTCCTCCTCCTCCTCCTCCTCCATTTTTTCCCTTTTGTGGGGTGTTTTCTGATTTTCGAGTGGTGATATATCCTCTCTATATTATTGTATGACTCCCTGATGTACCCCTAGGTGGGAAATGCTGCTTTTAAATGACTCTGAAGGTTTTTGAGGACCATTTTATACATATTTTCTTTTAATTGGAGATTCCTTTGAAAATACAGTGTGCAGAGTCCTGTGCTCTGATGAAGTTACTACTTGGGTAATGAAACATCTGCAAGAAAACAACCAACTTCAGAGAGCACCAAGGACCTCCAGTCCTTGCTCCTCCTCTTCCTCCTCCTGCCTTCTTCATCTCCTCCACCACTCCACAAACCCCACTCCCTTCAAGTACTGATGATGTTACCTAGTTGGGTCGTGAAACATATGCCAAAAAATGCCCCCAAGCTCCAAGAGCAGCAAGGACTCCACAGTTCAACCTTGGACTAAAGCTGGCTGGAGAATTCTGGGAGTTGAAGTCCACAAGTCTTAAAGTGGCAAAGTTTGGGGACCCTGTTCTGACCTTGGCTTCCCCCAAAAGCACTAAGCCGACTCTTTGTCCCAGCAAAATCCTTTTTGTTAAACAAAGGTGAATTTCTTGCATTCACCTTCAGCCAAAGGCCTGGCAAACTGTCTTTCAAGGGTGCAATGAAGAGCACAGACGTTATTTAGCCTGGAGAATTACCAAGTAAAAAAGCAAAGTTGGATGGAGGATTCTGGGAGTTGAAGTCTACAAGTCTTAAAGTGGCCAGGTTTGGGGACCCCTGATCTACTGAGCCAGCCAGCAAGAGGGGTTTCCAACCCCCCCTGCCCCCCCCGCATTAATAATGAAACTCATGGGGTGGCGAGGCAGTGAATGGGCGTGTTTAATTGCCCCTCTTTACCCGCCGTGGCAATTCCTGGGTCCATTAAACACCCCCTGCCTTTTCTCTTGTTTTGCAGCCCTCATCGTGAGGTTTCTCACCAAGAGGTTCATCGGAGACTACGAAGCCAATACGGGTATGTCTGGCTGCTGCCTTGTGGGTTTTGATGGAAGCAAATGGGGGGGGGGGGGGGGTGGGGGGCTGCGGGGGCCGGGGGCGGCAGGGGGGGGGGGGGGGGGGGGGGGGGGGGGGGGGTGGGCAGCTCCCGGCATCCAAGGAAGAGAACTGAGTCAACCCAGAGGAGGCTGGGAGGGGTGTGAGGGTGTCTGTTTTTAGGGATTCAGAAATGTCTCGTTTTCAGGTCCTCCCACTTTCGAATCTCGCTCCTAGCAAGGACGGTCCTAAATCAAAGCTCTGTGATTTGCAGCCTATGCTTCCCCCAAAAGGGAAAGAGGTTGTCCTTTTTTAAAGCCAGCATCGCCTCCGTGGAGAGGGAGCCCAGAGACAGAGACACAGTTTTAATTACAAAGAAAGGATCAAAGGGATCCTGCCATGCATCCCCTGAACAAACAGAGGCCACCTCTCTTCTGCTTTTGTCTTCTGCCAAAGAATGGGGCTGAGGGCTTTTTCAAAAGAGCAGCTTCAAAGAGAGGCTTCTGTCTGCTTCTAGTGCTATCACAAAGGGAGGAGGAGGGGGGCCCTCTGAGTTGAAAGGGAGGGGGGGCTTTTGTCGTCTGAATCACCCCAAATCCAGTCTGTGTGTGTTCCTGGGCAGCAAGCAACGGCTGGGTCCTCTTACAGTGGAATAGGAAGCTTTGCTAAGAGCAAAGGAATTGCTCGGGGATGCTTGCCAATCCAACGCGAGAAGGAAGATCAGTAAGACTGATTTGGAAAATACTTTAGGGATGCACCACTCGGAGATGATTGGGAGGAAGAAGCGCTTCGCAGCTCACACAGACACAGGGGTGCCTCTGCTGTGGCTGGGAGAGGCCTTCCGTGTAAACCTTTAAAGAGGTGACTCTGATTTCATGCTTACTCCCCCCAAGGCAGAGGAACTTGGCCACTTGAAGACTTGTGGACTTCAACTCCCAGAATTCGTCTCCAATCTTGGCCACTTTGAGACTTGGGGACTTCAACTCCCAGAAGTCTCCAGCCAGCACAAACCCTCTTGCCACAGTTGTTAAGAGAATCACTGCAGTTGTTAAGTTAGTAACACGGTTGTTAAGTGAATCGGGCCTCTCCCATTGATTTTGATTGTCAGAAGGTCTCAAAAGGGGATCATGTGACCATAGCAAAGCTGGCTGGGGAATTCTGGGAGTTGAAGTCCGTCAGGCTTAAAGTTGCCACGGTTGGAAACCCCCGGACTAGACAGCTCTTTGTCCAGAATGGTTTAGAGTCTCCTGCTTGGGCGAGGGTTGGACTAGAAGACCTCTCAGATCCCTTCCAACCCTATTATTCTCTCTTCTAACGTGTCTGTCAAGTACCAGGGAGATCCAGGCAGTTCAAAAGAGTATCAAGATGTATTGCTAGCTTAAGCTCTCTACAAGAATCTGGCCTACTAACAGTCAAGGCAATTTGGTGGTAGATAAGGAATTCAAGGTGTGCTGAACTTGTCCCCCTTGTGGGCACCAAGGGACTCATGATGCATAGGGCCCTTCCCTCGGGCTCAGCCTGGCCATCTCCTATAGCAGCCCCCCTCAAACTTGGCAACTTTAGGACTTGTGAGCTATGCTGGCTGGAGAATTCTGGGAGTTGAAGTCCACAAGTCTTAAAGTTGCCATGTTTGGAGACCTCTGCCATAGGGCATGCTTCAACGGCCATAAGTCACTTTTTGCAGTGCCGTCGTAAAGTTTGACCAGTCACTAAATGAATGGTTGTAAGTGGAGGACTTCCTACATCCATTCTAAATAAGTTCAAATCACCGGGACCAGGCGGATTACCTCCCAGGTTTCGAGAGGAGCTGGCCGATGTGATCTCAGAACCACCGAAGGTGACCTTTCCAAGTTAGATAGCCGAGCTGCACTTTTGACTGGGGGTGTGTTGTTGTACACACAGAGGCTCTTGTGCGATATGATCGCGAGTATTTTGGGCATGGCTTTGGGACACAATGGAAACTCGGCTCCATCGGCTCCCTGGAAACATTTCGGTGCATTTGCTCCCGTTCCTGGCCACCCAGGTGAGCAGAGGCTTTTTTTCAACCAACCACAATAGAGGCAATTTGCACAAGCCAGTTTTGCAAAGAATTCAGTTCGTTTTTAATAAGTTTAGACCAGTGTTTCCCAGCCTTGGTCATTTTCAGAGGGATGGATTCCCAGAATTCCCAAGCCAGCCAGGCTTCCAGTGGTAGGATTCAAAAAATTTTTTACTACCAGTTCTGTGGGCGTGGCTTGGTGGGCATGATGTGGCTTGGTGGGTATGGCTTGGTGGGTGTGGCTTGGTGGGCGTGACAGGGGAAGGATATACTGCAAAATCCCCCTTCCCTCCCCCCACCCCACTGACCTGCTTTCCAG